GCGGAAGTGAGGGCGTGAGGCTAGCCAGGCCCCGGGAAACAAGGGCGCCTCTCACCGCCCACAAGGAACTACCGAGCATGTCCAGCCACGACACGAGCGGGACGGAACAACACAACAGGCTGGGCGTGCGACGTCTCAACCCACCTCCGACCCACCCCTCGGCCCACTCCTTCACCCAACCTCAACCCACCCCTCTCCCTCTGTCGCAAGCGGCCACAGCCTCTGTCCCTTGTCCTCCCTCACCCTCCTCCTCCCCCTTCCCTCCCCCGACCTGTCCTCTCCGCCAGATTGCGAGATCGCAGTCGGCCGGAGGAAAGGCCTCCGGTCCCTTCCCTCGCCGGCCTCTCAGCCTCTTCCCAGGACGACCGCCGCCGGCCACTGGTCCTCGCAGACAATAAAAGTCATATCCCTTAACAAGTCCAGCGTCCATCCATTTCCTCGGTACATCTTGTTTATGAGGTCCTCACACCGCTTCTGCAAGCTCGTGAATTTTTCAAGCGGGGATTCTGAGCTGGCCGCGAGGGAAGGTGGGGGGGGGGGGGGAAGGTTAACACCCCCCTTCCTTCCTCTACCTCCTTTTCCTCCTCTTCCTCCTCCCCGTCTCCCTTCTCTTCTTCTTCTTCTTCTTCCTCCTCTTTTACTCCTTCCTCTTCTTTTCCTTCTTCCTCTTTTCCTCCCTTTCCCTCTCCATCTCCCTTTTCCCTCCTCCTCCTCCTCCTCCTCGTCCAGCTCGCCTTTCTTGTCATTTTCCTTCCAGGTTCAGGCGACGCGCCGAGATGTGAACATGTGTTCGCCTCCGTCCTTTTTGCCTTCCTGCTCCCCTTTTTTCCGTCCCCGATTCTCCAGAGGCGCCTTAACTCTCGCACAGCGCTCAGCCTCCGCCCATTCAGTTTCTCTCGCGGCCCTTCTCAACGGCGGCCCTCGACGTGGCTCCGGCGCTCGCTATCAATCATGAATCGCGACCACTTACGGCGCTTTTGTCTCGATTGTCGCAAACACGTGTAATATTAATGCGCGAGTGCCGGTGTTTGCATGTGTAAACGCTCTCTCGATGTTATGCTGTTTCCCCGCCTAGTTAGTGTGTGCGTTTCCATAATTGATTGATTAATCCACCCGCTTCTGTCGATATATATATATATATATATATATATATATATATATATATATATATATATATATATATATATATATATATATATATATATATATATATATATATATATATATATATATATATATGTATATATATATATATATATATATATATATATATATATATATATATATATATATATATATATATATATATATATATACATATATACATATATATATTCATTTATATAAGTATATGTATATAATATATATATATATATAGTGTGTGTGTGTGTGTGTGTGTGTGTGTGTGTGTGTGTGTGTGTGTGTGTGTGTGTGTGATATGTAAAAGTCAAACAGGCACATGTGTAGCGAGATGAAGTTGTCCGCACCCAAGCCTCTCTTCTTGCCAAACATTCGTCTCTAGATAAGACACAAATTCGTAAAAATAAATAATTTCCATAAAAGGACCGAGAGAGAAAATTCACACATCGTGTCTCCGGCCATAAAAGCCTGACGGAGGCGAGGGTGTAGGCCCGGGTTTCCCTTGGGGGTGGGGGGGTGGGGTGGGGGGTGATGACGGCTGGGGCTGCTACACTCCTTAACTACCTCGCACGTGGACCTGTGAGGCGGGGGGGGAGGGGGGGGTCGTCGTACTCTGTCCTCCGATGTCTCTCGATGTCTGTCTCTCTCTTGAGATGTCTCTCTCTCTCTCTCTCTCTCTCTCTCTCTCTCTCTCTCTCTCTCTCTCTCTCTCTCTCTCTCTCTCTCTCTCTCTCTCTCTCTCTCTCTGTCTCTCTCTCTCTCTCTCTCTCTTCTCTCTCTCTCTCTCTCTCTCTCTCTCTCTCTCTCTCTCTCTCTCTCTCTCTCTCTCTCTCTTTCTCTCTCTCTCTCACACGTTCTCTTTCTCTCTCCTTTTTTTGCTCTTTTCTTCAGCATCTCCCCCCTCCCCCTTTATACGTGCTTACGAGAACACATGCACATCATATTTATATATACACAGGCAAAACAAATATAACTTTTTACATTCCTCTTTTTTTCTTCTTCTTCTTCTTCTTCGCCCTCGCCGCCCCTGCCCTGTTTCGTTTCTCCTAAACCTGCCCGTGTTATCTTGCACAGCTTGTTTCCGTCAGACAGAATGAGTCGGCCCCATATATACACGCGTATATAAATATTGCCTTCGCCACCTCCCCGCCGCTCTACGAACACTCCCGTCTTTTAAGCGGTAGGATATTCCCCGTGTTTGTTGAATCAGGCCCTTGTTTGTGTACCCGAACTCTGTGGAATTACAAAAATTTCCTTTTTAAAATGATATGAGGGGCGATAATATGAACATTTATTTGTTGGTTGTATAGATGAGTTAACGACCGCCTAACACGTCGCGACGGGTCGACTCTCGTGTTCGAAAGTCTGCCTTGTAAATCGTCCGGCTGAAAAAGTTTACCCTTGATCAAGTCTCTTGCAAAAAACTCAACAACTCCTGTCGTTTAATGGTGTCGCGCTCATAATTGTTTTCATTAGAGACGAGCCTTCGATCCAACATAAGGAAGCGAGTGTGACTTGTAGCGAGGACACGAAGCAGACGTCGCAGTCAAAACAGAAGTTACGGACGACAGAGGGTGCCAGTGTTTGTGTTGGTGAGATTTATGCCACCAGATGGCAGGCCTGCGTCTTCCGCCCGACATGCCCGCGTTTGGCTCATTATCACTCTCTCCTCCTTCTACTCTTCGTGTTTATTTTATTTGGTTTCTCTGTGCTTACCGCAGTTATTAGGGCTTTTATATGTTTGTTTAAAAAAAGAAAATGTTTAAACTGAGAATACCATTTAACACCATTACATATTTTTACGCGATACCACACCACCGCATCCTTTATAACTTCCTTCACCTATCTAAAATTGCATTTAATTTTTAAAAAAAGGGCATATCATAAAATCCACAAGATCTCTACGGCGGGTGTCACGTGTTAGTTAGATTAATATTCTAAGGCAATATCAATTTGTCACCAAGCTGCGGCCGCCATCTACGATCTCCCAAGATGCGTCGCGGGAGATTTATAGCACAGTATGTCTCTTGCGGTGTTACGGAGCACACTCTCTCCCTCTCGATCTATCGGTTCTCGATTTAGAATTCTACGTTACCGAGTTCTATATACGTTGCCAATCATGGAGTGATATAACTGAGAGAGAGAGAGACGGACAAACAGGCAGAGAGAGAGAGAGAGAGAAAGAGAGACGGACAAACAGACAGCGAGAGAGAAACAGAGAGAAACAGACAGACTGACTAATAGAAATACATAGAAAAAAAGCCACAGGGATATAAAATAAAAATCAAATAATACAAGTAACATCCTCCACCTCTCCCCTCCCTCCCTCCCTCCCTCCCTCCCCCCGTCCTGTCAGTGGCATTCAGGAACGTAAAGAATTCCCACTCCTTATCAGCGGTCTCCATTCGTGCGAGAGGGGATTACGCATGTCCACTTCCCGCCAGTTTCCCACTTTACCCCCCCCCCTCCCCTGCTCACCTCCCCTTTCTCTCCTTCTCTCTCTTTCCCTCCCTCCCTCCCTCCTTTTTTTTTTTTCCTTCTCTCGCTCTCTTTCTGTCGTCACGTGACCTATTTACCCGCCATTAATCCGCCAATCCGGTGTCACTTTATCTTTCCCGCCACACGACGTCACTTCCGCTTCGTTGGGCCGAGAGCTTCCGGTTTTCTTGAAGGCTCGACTGATTTGCATTAACGAAAGACGGGGGAAAACGGGAATAGCATACGTAATATGTGCATTGTTTATTAACAAAGCCGTAAAGTCATTAATGTCACTGAGGATACGGGATGGAAAGAGTTCGCACAGCCATTGATTTCCCGGTTAATCGCACCCTCTTCAGAGTGCGGTGGGCGTTTGGGCGTGAATGAGAGGGCGGGGTTGAAACCGAAGGGCGTGAGAGAGTGGAAGGAGAGATACCAATCCCCTTCGAAACGCCTGCTTAGCTCTTTCTCTCTCTCTCTCTCTCTCTCTCTCTCTCTCTCTCTCTCTCTCTCTCTCTCTCTCTCTCTCTCTCTCTCTCTCTCTCTCTCTCTCTCTCTCTCTCTCTCTCTCTCTTACTCTTTCATTTTCTCTTTCTCTCTCTCTCACTCCCTCTCTTTCCCCTTTTACCACTGTCTCAATCTATTTATCTATCTATCTTTTTTTATATTATACCATTATAGGCCGTACCATGAACAGAAGAACGTTATTACATATGTATGGTTATTTTATTTCGTGCTCTCCCATACACATATAAACACCTACACTGAGCGAAACACTGTCAGCCAAAAACAAATTATTACTTTTAACTGCCTGCTATTATCCTCACCCAGTTCCACCCCCCCTCCACCCACCTCAATCCACCCTTCCACCCACCCTCCACCCACCCTCCACCCACCCTTCAACCCTCCACCCACCCTCTTCAACCCCCCCCTCAACCTCAATACTAATCAGAATTCAACTCCCTTCCTGCAGGTGGTCATCTCCCAGCAGGTGGACGTCGCAGGCCCTCTGTTGGCGGTTTCAGACAACATGTTTGTTCACAATAACTCGAAGCACGGCAGGCGGGCCAAGCGCCTCGACCCTACTGAGGGCATGTTCGGTGAGTACTTGTATATTAAGGGTTGTTTTTGTTTGTGTTTTGTGTTTGATTTGATTTGTTTTGTTTTTTTGAGAATTGTGTTATTCTTCTTCGTTGTTGAAGGGAGTTGTTGGTGATTATTATATGTGTTTTTGTTGTGTATTTTGTTGTGTTCTCTCTTTTCTCCTCTCTTCTCTCTCTCTCTCTCTCTCTCTCTCTCTCTCTCTCTCTCTCTCTCTCTCTCTCTCTCTCTCTCTCTCTCTCTCTCTCTCTCTCTCTCTCTCTCTCCCTCTCTCCCTCTCTCATTTCCTTTTTTAAAAAAAATGTCATCAGAAAGAGTCTTTTCTTAGGTATCTTTAAAAAAAAAAAACTTTATTCAAGAGCGAAATTTATCCCTACTTATCATACTTTTTGGAGGGGGAGCGAGAACCCTCTTGGAAAAAAAATAACTTCCTCGACACAATGTTTCTCGAAAATTCCAATTGTAATAACTCTTAGGACTCCTTCACTCTTTTCGTGTCTTCTCTGTTCTTTTCTCTTCGTTTCTTTTCCGTTTTTTTTTGTTTTGTTTTCTGTTTTCTAGTTTAATTTTCTCTCTCTCACTCTCTTTTTCTTTTTTTGTGTGTGTGTTTGTTTGTGTAATCTGTTTCTCTCTCTCTCTCTCTCTCTCTTCACTGTCTGTCTTCTCTTTACTTCTCCTCTCTTCTCCTCTCTTTTCCTCTCTTCTCCTCTCTTCTCCTCTCTTCTCCTCTCTTCTCCCCTCTCGCCCCCCCCCCTCATTCTCCCAATTCTTCTTCCTCACTCTCCCTCTTTTCTCCTCCATCTCCCTCCTTCTCGCCCCCCCCCCCCCCTGTTATCGCGCCGTCCCTCTCCATAGCTTTTAAATCTCCCGTCGAGGTGGTGGCGGCGCGAGACTCAGCTTACTGGTATGAACTATGTCTTTTACTAACTTTGGGAACCCCGGAGCGATCTTACGGTAAAAAGCAACAATAGTTTCTCATTTGTAAGTTGGTCTTAGACAATCCCCCGCGGGGCCATAGCTCCCCGCTGATTGGTTTATTCTCCCAGCGGGAACCAGCCTCGGCCTCTGATTGGTCCGAGAAGCCTCGTTGTTCACAAGACGTGGGAATGGCAATTCGGATTTTTATGTATGTGTTTTTGAGAACCTTGTCGCTGCGGGGAATCTTTTGGAGATAAAGAATATATCGAAATCAGAACGATAAGCATCGGCCGCGTATGACAAAGAGAGTAGGAGAAAGAGAGAGTTTGGGTTTTGTTTGTTTATCATCGTTTACGGGAGGGTAATATCTTGTCATTTTCACCCCCGCGAGGAAGGCCGGGCGATGTTTACGACAAGCCGAATTGTCGCTTATAAGAATTTCGTCCCTCCCACCTCTTCCATCTCCGCACTCCTTATTTCTCTCCCATTCCTGCTCTCCCTCCTTTTTTCCTCTTCTTTATAGTCCACCTTAAATCATCTCACGGAATATAGAAAAGCCTAGAAACGAAATGAAATGCTAGCTAGCGAAGGCCAGAGCACATGACCATTTTGTGATCCCGTAGAATCGCGCGCCGGCGTTGCCATACGGGGCTGCGTTCGAGTGTGACGTTACGCTCACCGCGGCGGCCGGTGAACGAACGCATCGGGAATCAATAAATATTTCGCCGGTCCTGGAATTATGAGCATATTATCTCTCAATGGCTCTAACTTAGTTTATTCGCGCGGCGGGGTGGGCGGGAGAACTTTTAAACCGATATCACACCCTCTTCAAGTTATTAGGGGCGCCGTTAGAATATTCTAATTAGGAAGAGATGCATTTTTTTATACAGTTTTCGTTTTTTTCTTTAAGTATGATTACTCCGTTATGTTTAGATGATTTATAGAACCCTGAATAATGGTAATGATGATAATCGTAATAATGATTATTATGATGATAAAGACAAGGATAATTAATGATAATAATGAAGATAATAATAATGATAATGATAATAAAGATAACGACAATAATGATAATAATAATAATTATCTTAATAATAATATCAACAACAACAACTATAACACTAATAAGAATAACAATAACAAAATCGATAACAATAACAATCATAACACAAATAATCGATCATCCATAAATAGATAAAATATAAGGAGAAGAAAGAGAGAGAAAACGAAACACGGAGGCCCGTTCGGAGATGAATCATGGATCAGTCACTCGGTCTAATCTCCCTTTGGACTCAAGGTAGGCCTATGACGCAAGAGCTGGCTGATGATTCCCCTCGCTTGACCGCCGTGATGATTTGGGCCCGAGATCCGTCAACGGGGGGGAGGGGGGAGGATGAAGGGGAGGGGAGGGGGGGAAGGGTGAGGGTAAGATCCTTGATGTTACGTTTTCGTTTTTTTTTTTTTTTTTTTTTTTTTTTGTCTTTGTCTTTGTTTTTGGGGTTATATTTTCCCGTTCTTCTTATTCTTATTATTATTGTTTTCCTTAATTTTCTATATGCATACATATGTGTGTGCGTGTGTGTGTGTGTGTGTGTGTGTGTGTGTGTGTGTGTGTGTGTGTGTGTGTGTGTGTTACCTCATTTGCTTTTTTTTTTTTTTTAATCTCCTTCCCCAACATAATCTTTTTCTCTTTCTTCTTCTTCTTCTTTTTCTTTTTCTCCCTTTACACTTTCTCACTTTTCTTGATATTTCCCTTTAAACGAAGCATCATATTTCCTCATACTTTCTCCTTTTTTTGTGTATGTTCTTGCACTCTTATTCGTGAATTTAGATTTCCTTAGTTAAAACGTATTTTATGGTCAA